GTCTGTGAGTCTATGTGTGTGTCTGTGTGTCTGTGTGTGTGTGTCTGTGTGTGTGCATGTCTGCATGTCTGTGTGTGTGTCTCTGTGTGAGTGTGTCTGTGTGCCTTAGTTGCTGTTATCACAACCTGCCTTGCCATCTCTGACCCCACCCTGCACAGCTACTTCTGATAACAATCCAGGACAGTTTCTGTGCTCAGACACTATCAGCCTATGCTATTTCCTCTGTAAACAGAGACAAGGATGAGTCCTAGAATTCATACTCTCTCTCTTTCCCTGTCTCCTTCCCTTCCCCCTCCCTCCCGATTTCTCTTCCGTCCCCACTTAACTCAGTGCTCTCCCACTGAGCCACACCCCAGCCCCTCACTGGGGGATTCTAGGCAGGGGCTCCACCACTGAGCCACACCCCAGCCCCTCACTGGGGGATTCTAGGCAGGGGCTCTACAGTGAGCACTGCCCTCCAGTGCTCCACATTATTTTCTGACAGGGTGTCTCACTGAGCCTCAGGTTTGCCAGCTGGCTGGACAGACGGGCCAGAGAGCACAAGAGAGCTTCCTGCCTCCCTCTGGTTCTGGGACTGCACATGGACACTTCCACAGCCAGGGGCACTGTTGTCCTTTACAATAAATCAGGTATATTTGATTGGCTCTATACACTATACATAAAATATTATTACCACAGTTTTTACATATTTGGTTGTTTGTGCACGAACACACAGCATGCTTGCATGGTTCAGCATATTGGAGATCAGAGGTCAGTATCCTTCTTCTTCACTGTGGGGTCAGACTTGGCAGCAAGTATACTTAGCTATTGAGTCATCTTGCCCCCAAGTTGCTACTTTTGTTTTGTTCTGTTCTGTTTTGTTTGAGACAGGGCGTTACCATGTACCACTGGCTGGCCTGGAACTTTCTATGTAGACAGACTGACCTCAAACTCACAGAGATCTGCCTACTTCTGCCTCCCGAGTGCTGGGGTTAAAAACTTGGTCTACCACGCGTGACCTCTTTTTTGAATTTGTATTCATGAACACCCATGTATGTGTGTTTAACTGATATGGTGGGCGCTGGAAACCTAACTCGGTCCTCTAAGATAGCAGTACATGCTCTTAACCACGGAGGCATCTCTTCAGCCCCACACTGCCACTTTTTTAACAATTTATTTTTATTCTCTGTACAGTGGTATTTTACCGTGGTACATGTTCGGTTGTGTGAGGGTGTCAGATCCCTTGGAACAGGAGTTACAGACAGTTGTGAGCTGCCATGGGGGAGCTAGGAATTGAACCTGGGTCCTCTGGAAGAGCAGTCAGTGTTCTTAACCACTGAGCCATCTCCACAGTCCCCAGATTGCCACTTTTAATTTTAATTTGGGAATAGTGGTGCATAACTTTAATCCCAGTGCTCTGGGGGCAGATGCAGGTGGATCTCTGTGAGTGTGAGACCAGCCTGGTCTATCCAGTGAGTTCTAGGGCAGCCAGAGCTACATAGAAATAATCTGTCTCTAATAATGATAATGATAATGATAATGATAGTAAATACACTCTGATGAGAAAAGAGAGGTCAATGGGGGTGAATATGAGCAAATCCCAAATATATACATATATAAATGTCATAATGAAACTTGTTGTTTGAGACTCTAAAAATACAATAAAAATGGGGAAAACTGAGCATGGGATACATTCCTGAAACTTCAACCCTTGGGGAGACTGAGGCAGGAGCAGTGCCATGAACATGAGGCCAGACTGGTCTACACAGCAAGTTCCAGGCCAGCTTAGCTTAGGCTATACCTGAGACCCTGTATCTGAAAACCAGAAGACAGGGCTGAGGATGAGGCTTGGTTAGAAGAGTGCTTACCAGATTGAATAAGCCGGACATGGTGACACATCCCTGTGACATCAGCCCTGGAGAGGTAGAGGCAGGAGGGTCAGGAGTGCAACACCATCCTCAGCTGTGAGCTTGAGGTCAGTGGGCTACAGGAGATCCTGGACAGAGACAGAGACAGAGAGACAGAGGCAGAGACAGACAGAGAGACAGAGACAGACAGACAGAGAGGAGAGAGGAGAGGAGAGAGATCGCAGATGCTCACCATGCCTGTATCACGTTTCAGAAATGTTGTCCTAACCCATCTAGACCAGAGGAGTAAATCACCCAGCACTTGGGCTCCACCCTGTGTGGGTTCCAGGGTGTTCCTGGCACCTGCAGCAGTCCTCAGAGTTCATAGGGTATTTGGTGAGTAAAAGAATTAATTAGGAGCCTGAAGCCTGGAGCCTGAAGAGGGCTAAGGAGCCGCTCGAGGGCTGAGGGTGAAGGCTTCGGGATAAAGTGTTCATTCTTCAAGCCTGGTGAGCCGGCTCCAATCCCCAGAACACACACAGTAGAACAACACAGCTGAGTCCTGGCTTCTGTATGCCGCGTGTGGCATACACGCACAGGCACATGCAATAAATCAACAAACACACTTTAGAAAGAAAGGCGTGCACAATTGAGCTGCTACACACACACACACACACACACACACATTAATTAATTAATTAATAAGATAATTAAAAGAAGGTATCTGAGAATCATAAAATACTTTTAAAGAAGAAAATGATACAAAGTCATGGGGGGGTGCCTCTGTGTTAGAAATGAGAATCCCCGAACTGCTGCTCCGGACGGGACTCTCGGAATGGGACTCTCGGAATACCCTTGTGGAAGGTGGCCCAGAGTTGCCTGGTGGTGACGTGCGTAAACCTCTGTCCCAAGTGTCCTTGCTGTCTTAGGAAACAGGAACATGGAGTCAGAGGGCTCGCTCACAGGACACGCTGACTTTTGGAGGACTGGACCCGACCCGCGGGGATTCCTCAAAGAGAGGTCCTGCTCCCCGGTGCGCGGATGAACACCTCTTGGGCTGCCGTAGCTCTGCCCATTCCCAAGCATCTGGGACTCAGGGGTGATCAGGTTTCTATTTGGAGGGCTGGGGGTGTGGCTCCGTTGGTAGAGGGCCTGTCCTGGCATACACAGACATACTGAGTTCTACTCCCAGCACCGCGTTAACTGTGCTTATGCCTGCCAACCAGGCACTCTAGAGATGGAGGTGGGACAAGATGCTTCACGGCCATCCTCCGCCACGTTGTGAGTTTGAGGTCAGCCTGGGCAACATGACATCTTGTCTCAGAAAACTAAAATAAAATATCCCATCTGGCATTCTAGTTCTGACTCCAAGATTTCAAAGTGAATGCTCCTAAGAAGCCAAAATCACCAACCCCTCCATGCCTTCCCTCAGCCTCCCTTGGGCCTCCCTCCTTACCTTCTCTGCCAGCTGGTCCCAAATAGGCTGAATGCCGATAACACAATTTCAGGCCACAGCAGAGAGGCCCAGGTTCTCTCCACCAGGGACAGGGAGTAGCTGGCTGAGTCTCAGAGACCCAACCTGTTTCCCCAGATCCTGTGGGATTCTCTGAGGGCCCTGAGAAACCTTCTTAACCAGGAAAAACAGGCGTGGCCTCCTCCCAGCCCCAGGGGAATATTTGTCTTTCCTTCCTTCCCTGAGTCACAGATTAACCCACAGACAGAAAGGTTGGAAAAAGTGGAGAGCTGGACAGTGTCCCCACCCCTCATCTAGCCATCAGCTTCCTGGAAGCCACATGTGTGTGGGCTTTGGGCCGCAAGCTCTGGAGGACTACCCTTAAAACCACCTCCCAGCCACCCTCCACGCTAAAGGGCCCTAAGGTGCTGTAAAGTACAAGCTGCCTCTGAGCCTCTCCTGACCGGCTGCTCTGTTCTCTGCTTCTCCTGCCTGCCAGCCACAGACCATGAGAGGTTTTTCCTTCCTCAAATGTTGTAGGAAGACAGCCCAGAGTTACCCCCACTCAGAAAGATCAAGAAGCTGGGCCCAGGGCTTGAGGCTTCCAGGGAATACAAGATGCAAGCCCTCCATGCAACTATGGCACACGACTTGAATCCCAGTACTCTGGAGGCAGGGACAGGCAGATCTCTGGGTTCCGGGCTAGCCAAGTCTTACGGAGAGAGTTCCAGGACAGCCAGGGCTACACAGAGAAACACTCAAGCCACTCATACGAAAAGCAAGTCCTGTCCCTTTCTGGGCCTTTTATTTTTTTAATCTATAAAATGGAAAGACAAAGCAAGCACAGGAAACCATGGCTGTCATCCCAGAATCCGGAGAAGGCAGAGGCAAGGAAGATCTCAAGCTGGAGACCTGTCTGGTCTACATGGCAAGGCACTGTCTCAGAACACTACTGGCAGGGCCACAGAGACGGATCGGTGGGAGAATGCTTGTCACACAAGCGTGAGGAGTGAGCATTCACACAGGGCCAAAGCCGGGGCAGACAGGAGAGCCCTGAAAACATGTTGGTCAGCTAGCCTGGCCTTTGCCACTGCAAGCAACGAGAGACTGTCTTAAAGTAGAGGGGAGGGTCTACAATTGAGGCTACCCTCTTACCTTCATATGCAGTGTGACTCTCACAGGCCTGTGTGCACACGTGTTTAAAATGAGAAATAACAACAGTCTATCTCTGAGGCCCTGTGGGTAGTATTCTGAGACAGCACCTTGCTGGGCATGGTGACCTCAAACTCACAGAGATTTGCAAGCCTCAGCCTCAAAAGCATTGGGACTAAAGGCGCGCCCAGCTCTAGAGTACACTATCTTAAACTACACACCCATGCACATGGCTCAGGCCTAGGACACTAAGCAAGAAGACACGGCTTCAACCCTGACAATGCAATCTCTTCATTCAGTGGTTTTTGATGGTCGTATTTTTCCCCGAGCCATGCTTAAGGCCTTGAGGGGAATGTGGTCATGAATTCTTCTGTTGGTATTTAGAGCATAAAATCATGTTGTTAAAGGAAGTTGCTTCTGGGTCAAGAAGCTGCAGTCTGTGATCCAGGCCTCTCTCATCCGGAGAGGCCTCTGTGTTCTCCACACTGCAAACAGAGATCCATGGGAGACTAACTCAGTCAACAAAGATGACAAAAGGTCTGGGCTGTGGCTCAGTGTTAGGGTATTTGCCAGGAATCCCCCAGTAAGGGGCTGGGGTGTGGCTCAGTGGTAGAGCCCCTGCCTAGAATCCCCCAGTGAGGGGCTGGAGTGTGGCTCAGTGGTAGAGGCTCTGCTCAGAATCCCCCAGTGCATTGGTTACTTTCCTGGCCTATAATAAAATACTATAACCAAAAGCAATTTATGGAAGAGATCAATTTGGCTTACGGTTCTAGAAGGTTGGTCAATAAAAGCAAGAAGGCACGGCAGTAGGAAACTCGTTGATTACATCTTCACCCACACACAGGACACAGGAAGTGAAATGAGAATATAAATCCCAGAGCCTGACCCTAGTGATCTCCTTCTTCCAGCAAGGTTCCACTTCCTAAAAGTTCCATAACCTCCTCAAACAGCCCCACTAACTAGTCAAATGTAAGGGCTTATGTGGAACATTCTTTATTCAGTTACTAACAGGCAGTGAGTAGCTTGGGGCTCAGTGGTAGAGATGAAGAATTTGAAGACTTAGTGGAGGAAAAACACATGAAACCTTATAACATAGGGCCTCAAAATGTTACAGAGGAGCATTACCACTGAGCCACACTCCCAGCCCCTCATTGGGGGATTCTAGGCAGGGGCTCTACCACCAAACCATATCCTCAGACTCAAGGATCAAAATGTCATCTTGCATATATTCAGATTAATAAAATACATAAGCAAAAGAGCTGGGCATGGTGGCACACACCTTTGAACCATCTCTCCAGGCCCCTCCTTTTTCTTCAACCTTGTTTTTGAGATGGAGGCTCTCAGTGGGATCTAGGTGCTCACTGAGTAGCCTAGGCTGGCTGCTAGTACACTCTAGAGATCCACCTGTCTCCACCTCCCCCATGCTAAGGTTACAGGTACAAATCATATTCCAAGGTTGGAATTCAAGTCCTTAAGCTTGAATGGCAAACATCTTCCTCACTGAGCCATCTCCCAGCCTCTCCTATTTTATCTCAGAGCTGTCTAATGTGGTGTGCTAGCTTTCTAGATGCACACTCCCAGAGGTCACCATCACAAGGGATGACTCTGGCCCCCAGGCCTTGGAGCCCTGCATCTGAAGAACAGATGAGTGTGCAAGACCCAAAGGTGCTGAAGGCTGGGGCTGGGGGAGGGGAGAGAACACACTGGAGTCCATCAAGCTCTCAGCCACTTCCTTTCCTTTTCACTTCCCCTTCCAAGCCTGTTGACAGAGCAGATTCCACAGGCCACACATTTGGCAATCCCCTGAACTCTCTGCCAACTTCTGTTCTGGGCAGGGCTGGTTAACCCCAAGTTGCCTGGGGTGACCACCTGGATTCCCTCCATGGCCATCACCTATTATATGCCCTTTCTCCTCCTCCTCCTCTTCAATTAATTTACTTTTGCCTTTTGGCATGAGTGTTTTGTCTGTATGTATATCTGTGTGCCACATGCATGCCTGTGGAGGCTAGGAAAGGGCATCAGATCCCCTGAAACTAGATTACAGTTTTGAGCCACCATGCAGGTAGATGGAACCAAACCTTGGTCCCCTAGAAGAGCACCCAGTGCTCCTAAACCGCTGAGACATCTCTCTAGCCCTTCTTTTTGTTTTTGAAACAGGATCTCTGTATGTAGCCTGAACTCACAGAGGTCCACCTGTCTCTGTCTCCCAAATGCTAGGATTAAAGCTGTGTGTCACCATTTTTGTTTGTTCGTTCATTCTGTTTTTGTTTTCATACAGGGGTTCACGAAGCCCAGGCTGGTCACAAACTCACTGTGTAGAGAATGACCTTAAACAACTGAGAGTTCTGAGTCTACCTCCTAAGTAATGAGATTACTGCTGTGTGCCACCAAGCAAGTTTGGGGTGTGTGTGTGTGTGTGTGTGTGTGTGTGTGTGTGTGTGTGTTGTTTTGAATCCAGGTCTCACTATCTGTCCCTAGCTGACCTGGCACTCACTAGAGATCTGCCTGCCTCTGTGTCTGGAGTGCTGGAATTAAAGGCCTGGCCACACCCAACCACCACTGGGGTTTTATTGGGTGTGGGGACTGAATCCCAGGCATGTTAGACAAGCAATCTACCTACATCCTATCCTGGGTCCAGCTCTTTAAAAAATATATATATTTTTTGTACATATGAGTGTTTTGCCTGCATGTAGAATTGTGCACCATGTGTGTGCTTGGGGTCCACGGAGGCCATTACAGACCATAAGACCATGAGGATACAGGGATGCTAGGAACTGAACCAGATCCTCTATACAGCAGTTCTCAGCCACCTTAATGCTGGCGACCCTGTAATACAGGTCTCTGCTGTGGCAGCCACCCAACCAGAAAATTATTTCCATTGCTACTTCAGAACCATAAATTTGCTACTTTTATGAATTGTAGTGTAAATATTTTTGGAGTCAGAGGTTTGCCAAAGGGGTCGCAGCCCACAAGTTGAGGACCGCTACTCAAACACACACACACACACACACACAC